CTAACAGCAGCTTCTGTATTTTTTTATTACCAACCAGACTTTGTTAATATATAAAAGTAACCGCCACAGTTCTTACATCCATTTTCTCTAGAGCCAAAAGTCTACAGTCACGGTTTACCGCCACAATCCTTACCAATCAAGCCCAAGAACTAGTGATGTCAGTAGGCACCGTACAATTAAACACAAGAGAGACCTCTCCAATGCCGTTAATGGAAGAAGTAACACAGAGCCAAGACGTCGACTGTGATGGCAAGATCAGGCTTGGCTAGAGGTCGAGGCATTTATCCTGAAGCTGCTTCCGAAGTGAGGATGTGGGCAAGCAAAAGAGAAATGTTTAGCAATCTATTGCGGAGTGCTCCAGACTCTTCTAGAATGTATGAAAAATCTGGTTAGTCCTTCGAGACTCTCGAACTAGATTCCTCAAATAAGATTGGCATTGCCTATAATAACATCTCAACTTGTAAGAGAGAATGACTTAACTAGTGCCATGAGAACCGAAACGTAATATATGCTCCCCCTAAGTGCAAACCCAATCCAATCCGGAGGTTAGATTTGAACTTTTCCAAAGACCCATCTGCTCTACACCTCATGAGTGGTTATTGTTGATTCCTGGTCTTCTAAACCTCAACTTGATCCATATGGATCTTTTGTGCCTCTTTCCACACCGGGATATTTCACTCTTTGTATGATAAATATATGTAGGCTCCGGTTCTACTCCTTGATAAAACCTTTTTATTTCTCAATTTTCAAATGAATAAATTAAAATAATCCATGGAATCAATGCAATCAAAATCAGTAGCATATGCTATGTCTTGTAAGGAGATGACCACATTCGTCTGAACCCAAATTGAACGTCTGAATCCTCAGTTGGTTCAACTAGTATTTTGCTATGTAATAAATAATGAAGGAAAATCTTACAACAAAGTAACTGATTGAAAGTAGACATGATCCCTGGGAATATAAAAACTTCTCTAATCAGGATTTTTGTTGTCCCAACTAGAGAGAGAAAACAAATTACACGCAGAGA